CGCGTAACTGCTCATTTTGTACATTCAGTCCGGTTTGAGTTATTTTACATTCAGTCCGGTTTGAGTTATTTTAGTTTCACTCTGTGATTTGTAAAAAATGCTCGTCGCATTGGCGCGGTCAGTTTCCATTGAGGTCTCAGCCCTCACACCCAGCGTTTTCCAACTTAGCACTTATTCTTTTTGGCGCAAGCGAACAACTCGCGGTTAGTTTTGGCCTCTTTTTATCCGAAATGGGCGTATTTTTGGGTAAAAGTAACCAAAATTGAGTGTTCCTTTAGCTAAGTCCTATGCCGGTGTGACTCGGCTCCTTCCATTTCTTTACTGTGAAATAGTTCTTTCGAAATAGCCCTTAATTTCAGTTTTTTTTACGTCATACAGTTATTGTAGATCTATTGCACCGGACGTTTCAGGTCATAAAGTTTTCATTGTATTATGAGTAGAATTTGGGCGGTATTATGAATAGAATTTGGGCGCCTCTTCTCCTCTTTGATTCTTTGATATAGGTGTTTCAGCTATCATCTGGACATGGATTAGTGATTGGTCCGCTTAAAATCGTGGATGCCAGCTCCGTGATAGACTGTTCAGTCAACGCCGTTATAATAAACGATTTTTCTCACTTTTCTTTGGTTAGCCCCGCACAAGCAGTGCTGGTCGTCGAGAAGGATGCTACTTTTCAAAAGCTTATTGAAGACGGGTTTCGCTCGCTGTTTCCGAACATAATCCTTGTTACTGTAGGTTATTTTCCTTCGTATATTTCCTCTCTGTATGCGTCTATATTGTTTAGTTCTTTGAAGGGTTTTTTTAGGGCAGAGGTTATCCTGACAATGCTACGCGTATCTTGCTGCATAAACTGCGTGATATCCCGCTGTTTGGGTTGCTGGACTGTGATCCACATGGTTGGTGTTTCCTCATGATATGTCGGTTTTTGCTGGTAGTCGCGTTTATTTTTCTTACACTTTTTTGACATTTAGGTATTGAAATCGCTATGACATACAAATATGGCGGTGCGAAGGCAAACTATGCGCTTGAGGACCGAAAATTACCCCATTTCCAATGGGTCGGACTATCTCGATTCAACTTGCCAAAGTAAGCCTGAGCCAATTAATTTCCGGTCCTGCTTGTATTCGCGGAAGTGAATTTGAAGCAGAAATGAATAGGAGGACGACTGATTTGACTGACAGAGCAAATGCAAACCAATAAATTTGCCTGGTCCTGTTCCGCCGATGATCACATTATTTTTGGACTGAAGAAGTTGCAAGCTCTGATTCATCTTGCTGAGCAGTGCTCTGACTTTTTATCATTCGGTTTCAGATTTGCTATTTCGGATTTGCAGTTCATTCCTCTCCAGCAACGCGAGATGGCGAAAGTTGAAAGGCTTTGCCAGAGGGCTGCCGCTTTGGGCGATATAACTTTTTTAACCGAAGTCCTGGTTTAATTATTCGTAAAAACTGTCACGGTATCAGTGCCTATTTTCCCGTATCTTGGACTCCGAAATTTTTAAAGAAAATTATTTTGACGTAGAACCGGTCCTCACTCTTTTATTCTATTTTCTTGAAACACGTGCTGGTCTCAACCTACCTTCATTGCTCTGAACATGAAAAAATGAGTAGCCGGAAGTACTGTATCTCGATAAAAAGGGGCTCAACCACTTTACCGGGTTGTCGCAGTGGAAAAGTTTACAGATTCGCAGTTACGTTATATAGTTGCATATGCCTCCTTCCGAACTTCTCCATGAGTCGTTTCTTATTTGTCCTTTTGCACACGATCTGGTGTCTTTAGTAGTTGCCGGTCAAAATCGAAGTTACTCTCCTAGCTCCATAGCGGTATGGTTAGTCAATACAAACAAAGCTTACGTCTGTTTTGATTCTAGTAACTTAGCTTCATGGATGTGCGAATTTATTTTGACGGTCTACAGTTCTAAAATCACATTTTACAACAAGATTCCGGAGAGTAGTTGAAAAAAGATGAAAAGTTTAGTGGGAGTTATGAAAAAGACGTGCACCGGTTTTTGGAAAATTTCGTTATGCATAGGAGAATTTCCTAAAAATGATTGTTGAGGAGAGAATGCAGACAGGAACTCCATCTGGGTTGTCATACCTGCTTCTAGACTGGGGCATTATTTTGGATTCACAGGTGGGGAAAAGCAATTTTTCTGTGACTCATTCATTCGCTTTGAACTGGTACTAGAAGTATGGCAAGTGTGTTGTGGGCCATATACCTTTGTGCATGCGCTACTCAAAGCAACCTCTGGAAAACCGGACTGACTATATCTAGTAGCTGCTCTCAACCTCATCAATTCTGGTTGTCCTGTCCCTCACATTAACTTGAATACAGTTTAGTTCTACGTATAAAAATGTTTGGGGCGTCAGAAATGACAGATCTACTTGTGACATTTGTCTACTCCCGAATTGGTGGACAGATTGCTGAAAGCGCCATGTCTGGAAAAATCAGCTGAAAAGCAACCTGTCTCTTGTGATTCTGAAAGGCCCTCTCCACTCGGAAATAATTCATTATTTTTTCCCTGACTATTTTTTTTGTAATATTCTAATTGCCTAATTTTTACAGCTGCAAAAAATGTACATGGATGGGAACAAGTTGGAGCTAGAAGCAGTAAGTGGTATTGCACCTGGATCGATGTGCCGTTATTTGCTACAAACTGAACTTGGCAAATACGCCGCCAGATGAGTCTTCACCCAACTGAGATCAACGCTGTGATAATTTGTGATAAAGTAGTAACTGAGCAGCTGAATCCATTCATCGCTCGTTTTTTTATCTTTTGTTTGTTTTTCAGTCATATGGCCTCATCAGTCATCCTGAAAATAAAAGAACAGTACCGATCTGACGACGCTTATAAGCCCCAGCTGGATCGCTCGATTAAAATGCCCGTGATTTTTCTCCGCTTCTTACAGATGTATAGTTTTTGCGCTGGATCAAGGATTTCATGCACCATTCGTTGCCTTCAGCGCATCATTGTTGACTTTATCTTTCTCTTTCTGAATTTAATTTTGTAATTTCCGTCCAGTCAGCGAACGTCTTCATGTCAAGCTTGTCGTGGTTTCATTAACTGTTTTCTTATGTTTAAGTATTTGAGGATATCCTTTGGCAAGTCGCCAACATGTGCATAAATGTTTTTTTTTTTTTGAGAAGACAAAAAAAAGTGCACGATTAGCAACAGCAACATGCAAAGGAAAAATGCGATGCGGTAGAAACTTGATCAGTTTATAAAATATACCGAGAATAACAGGACTACTCAAGCAAATAGTATGCATGTACTTTGTTAGTGGTGCCAGACCCTTCGATCCGAAGCTGCATGACATCAGTCAGTACTGGCTGCCTTTCCACTGCATTTATGCCACCTCCTCGGAGACGTTATCGTCTTGTGAGTACCACTCGCTAGTACGCTGATATCCACTGGTTATCGGCAGGGCAAGCAGCATACCTTAGTGGATTTTAATTTGTCGCGTGGTCACAGTGGCATTATGCGTCCTCTGATCTAAAGGGGATTTGAGTGTTTTTATGATTACGAAGAGATACGCCAGACGCAAGTGCCTCTCCACCGTTTCTCTATCACAGCCAACGCCACGTTTCGCATCCGTACGTCATTGCTTTCAGCACAGTGGTACTTAAGAGATGGCCATTCTGATTTAACATTTTAGTGAACATCGACTGCGAAGATCAAAAAACTTCTTCAGACAATACTTCGCAACCTAATTTTAAGGGTACAAGAGTTGGAACACTGAGAGCGCCTTCGGGCAGCCAATTCACATTTCAACTACCATACTAATGTAGCTGGTCAGGAAGGATGCATGCATACGCAAACAGCTACTAAATTTACACAAAACTTCCTTCTAAACGCAAATATTTTTGTAGTCCATGAATACAATGAAAAAAAAAAAGAAACTCGGATGGTCGTTTCCAAAACTGCACACAAACGCACATCGAATAAACGTCATCGAAGTGCGTTTTGGAATAGGAGTTTTTGAAAGTTTGCTTGCTTGCAGATATCCTGGGCCATCATCATCGTCATCCTGGAGACATATTTTGTTTGCATGCCCGTTTGAATCGATTTTCAGCTTAGAGCGTTCAAAGCTTTTTTTTTTTGCTGAAGCTTTCCTCTTCATAATGCTTGCTTGCTCGTAGCCCGGTACCTCCTTGCAGCAACGTTTTCTTCACTCACGTCAGCGATTTCTCCATCCTCTGCATCAGCAGCAATTTTCCCAACTCATCCATCAAGTGTTTACTTCGCTTTGCGTTGCTTTTCGGTCAAAACATCCAACTTGGGAAAAAGTACTGCTAAAAGCACTCGCCTTTGAATGCATTTGTTATATTTACACATGTCATTTTTATGTGTCTTTGCATATTTACGCATATGCAAAAAGGCATTTTGAGGAAAGGTTGTCACTGTGTATACGAGTGTGTGTGTATGTGTGTGCATATGTGTGTATGTGTACGTGTGTGTGTGTGTGTGTGTGTGTGTGTGTGTGTGTGT